CTTCTCTTCTCTTCTCTTCTCTTCTCTTCTCTTCTCTTCTCTTCTCTCTTTCCCTTCCTCCCTCTTTCTATGTCTCTGTCTGTCTCTATTTCTCTTTCTCTCTCTCTCTCTCTCTCTCTCTCTCTCTCTCTCTCTCTCTCTCTCTCTTTCATTTGTCCAATAGTCTGGGCTTCTTTACCTTCTGGTTTGGCTCTGGCTGACCTGGGCCTGCAAGTTTGGCTTCATCACACGTCCCCCTGCCTCTCTCCATTCCCAAACCAGAGGGCAGCTCTGGCTCTGCCTTTCTTCTTCCTGCTGTTCAGCCTGAGACAGGATATGCTCCATCTCTTCCCTGCCTCGAGCTCAGACCCATGTCTTACCTCTTCTCACACTCTGCCGTGGAGCACCTTGGATCTTGTCTTGGCCAGGCCTTGGGCTCAGAATAGAAAAATGGGTTGCCTTTGAGGGACTGTAGAGTACTTTCAATGACTGTAAGCTTCCCCCTCACACTAACACTTTAAATTTTTTTTTTTTTGCCAAGGCAGTTGGGGTTAAGTGACCTATGCCCAGGGTCACACAGCTAGTAAGAGTTATGTGTCTGAAGCCGGATTTGAACTCAGGTCCTTCTGACTCCTGGACTGGTGCTCTATCCACTGCACCACCTAGCTGCCCCCAAAATCCATTTTTTGAGAGTTGCTGTGGTGTAGTGAATATACGGAGGGCCTCGGTGCTAGGAAGCCTGGGGTTCCAGGCTCATCTCTGACACATCTTGGCTGTGTGCCCTGGTCAAGTCTTTAGGACCCAAAGTTTACAGAGATGTGTTGACCTGCATGGGAGAAGTAGTTTACTCATCTGGGACATCAGTAAAATCACAGGGCCAGTCCCTATTCCCATCTCGTTCTTCCTGTTACTTACATTTCTCATTATGTCCCTTTCCCTCCCGGAGGACCATCCCATGCTAAAAAAGAAGAAGAAGAGGGGAACAAACAGTGAAGAAAGTCCACCCAACACATGGTCAACACCTGATATCACATGCAGTGTCTTTTGGACACCAATACTGTCTCCATGACACTGTGTGGATGTTAACTATGGATCCCCAAAGTTTCCCAAGGAGCATGCTCATGGATGGCCCAGAGGACATTGGAGAGAGGTATGGTGGCTTGAGCTGCTGTAGGCTTTTCCCCAGCTCTTGATCAATGGTGTAGAACAGGGTGGGGAACCTTCAGCCTTGAGGCCCCATGTGGCCCTCTAGGTCCTCAAGTGCAGCCCTTTGACTGGATCCAAACCTCATAGAACAAATCCTTTTATGAAGGGGATTTGTTATACAAAGTTTGGACTCAGTCAAAGGGCTGCACTTGAGGATCTAGAGGGCCACATGGGGCCTTGAGGCTGCAGGTTCTCCAACCCTGGTGTAGAAGATGTCTCCCATGCTGTGTTTAAGCAGAGAAGGAAGTGAGTGCATCATGGGGCCAGAGTAAGGGGTAGCTGATGGATGGCGCATGCTGCCCACCCAGGTGCCCTGATGGGGAGGGGGGAAGGGGCTGGAGAGAGGCCTCAAGTGCTTCCATGAAAGCTCTGAGATGGGTGGGGGAATGGGGAAGCACCAAAGAGGATGGTTTGTCTTGGGAGCCTTGGTGGGAGCACCCAGGCCAGGGAGATCACAGAGCTGCCAGAATCTCCCTTGTGGCCACTCTGCATTTCCAGAGCAGGTCCCAGAGGATCCCAGTGCTTTCACAGTTACTTAAGTTAACACATAATCTGGTCATGGAGCGGGGTGGGGACCTGAGAGAGAAGAAAACTGAGGCACAGGGAGGGAAAGGGCACACAGAAAGCCCAGTGCTCACCAGGCTCTTTGTTGTAGGCCTCAATATCCAGAGATGCCAAGGGGCACAATAGAAGAGTTGAAATCAGGAAAACACCTGGGTTCAAATCCTACCTCAGATACTAGCTGAGTGACCCTGGACAAGTCACTTAACTCTCTGTAACAAGACGACAATAACATTAGCACCTCTCCCCGTCCCCTCCCCATCAGCACTTTACAAACTTTCAAACACCATAGAAATTCAGTAGATATTTTATCCTACCACTTCCTAGTTGTGTGACCACAGGCAAATCTCTGCATCTCTCTGAGCCTCAGTGTCCTCATCTGGCAAATGGGGATGACTTCACAGGCTTGTGGAAAGTCATGTGTATGTGAGAGGTGCTTGTTGGACCTTCAGACTTAGATGGGATTATCCATTCCTCCCCAGCTCATGGAACTCTTGTGTTCCTTAGGCAAATCACTCTCTGGGCCTCAGTTTCCACATCTGAAAAGACTTCAGAGACCTTCTAGGGGAACTCTCCATTTTCCAGAGGAGAAAACTGAGGTCCAGAGAGAGGCTTGCCCAAGGTGGACAAGTAGTAAGTGTAGATGGCAGGATCTGAGTGCTCAGTCCCAGCTTTGCCCATTGAACCACACAGCCTCCCCAGATAAGTGATACTAGCTAATGTTTATGCAGCACTTCAAAGTTTGCCAAGCAGTTGATAAATATTATCTCATTTGATCCTCCCAAAAACCCTGGGAGGGAGCTGAGGAAAATGAGCTGCAGAGAAAGCCCAGGATCACATAACTAGTGTTTCAAGTAGGATTTGAACTCAGTTCTTTCTGACTCCAAGTCCAGCACTGGTTTCATGATACCACCTAATTACCTGATCTTCTAAGCCTATTTTTCAACCAATCCTCCTATGGTCTGGTCTCAAGGTCCTTCACCATCCTGCTGGCACTCTGGCATGGTCTCTGCCTTCTGAATGTCCTTGCTAACAGCTCTTGAATCTGCCTCCTTCTCTCCTCTAACTCTGCCACCCCCTGGTGCAGACTCTAACCTCACACCTGGACTGTTACAGTTGCTGTGGGAGACTCTGCCTTACTCAACACGCTCCCCATCTGGTCCATCCTCCATTCAACCACTAAGGTGATTTTCCTAAAATGCAAGTCATTTATTTGCATTAAAATGCAAATGGTTACATGTCACCCTCTCTCCCACTCTCACAAATTCTAGCAGCTCCCTATCATCTCCAGGATCCAGAGTGACGTCCTCTGTTTAGCATTCAGAGTCCTTTGTAACCTAGACCCTTCCTATCTTTTCATTCTTCTTACACCTTCCTCTCCAACATGTTCTCTGTGATCCAGTGATACCCACCAAAACTCTAGGCATTTTTACAGGCCATCCTCCCATGCCTGCAATGCTATCCCCCATTGTCTCCACCCTCTGGTTTTCCTCTCTTTCTTAAAGTCCCAGGGAAAATCCACCTTCTGCAAGAAGCCATACCCCATCCCCTTAATGCTACTGCCTTTCTTCTTTGAATATCTCCAATTTAGTCTGTCTCTATCTTGCTTGTACACAGTTGTTTTTCCCATTAGAGTGTGAGCTCCTTGAGGGCAGGACTGTTTTTTGCCTTTCTTTGTCTCCCCAGTACATATCATAGTGCCTGGCACATAATAGATGCTTCATAAATATTTAATGACTCACTTCTGAAATGTGCTATCTAGGAGTGAATGCAGTCCTCCAGATGGTGGTCTGACCAGGCCTAGGTTAGCATTAGCTTTCCTCACTACTGAGAAGTTCCTTTTTCTTCCTAATGCCATCTAGCTTTGGACACTGTGTGTTTGAGGCACTGTTGCACATCGATCCCTAGGAGTCCTGTAGGTGGGGGTCAACCTGGACCTTAGGGAGGTAAGGACTATATATGCATGCACACATACGTCTGTTTGTCTATCTGTCTGTCTGTCTATCTATCTATCTATCTATGTCTATATTATAAAGGTGGTATTTGGGAGCAGAAGAGGTTGCCTAGGGAAAAGATGAAAAGAGAGGAGAGCAGAAGGATAAGGAAAGACTCACACTTATGGATTGGGAAGAGGTGAGAAGTCAGTGGAGGAGATAGCCACAATGAAGCACCTACTATGTACTAGTGACTGGGTTATTTCCTGCGCTCGTGAAAACAAAACAAAACAAAAACTCCCTTCCTTCAAAGAGCTTACTGAGGGGAGGTGTGTGTGTGTGTGTGTGAAACCACAGCATAGAAGTATATAGATGATAAGTTGAGGAAGGAGTCTCATGTCATAACAGCCGAGGAAAGAATCTCTTTTGCTGGTTCTTCATCCTGTTGAAGTTCCATAACTATTAAGGTTCCCCAAGGCTCTGGCCTGAGCCTGCTTCTCTTCTTCTATACCAGAGGTGGGGAACCTGTGACCTCGAGGCCACTTGTGGCCTTCTAGGTCCTTGGGTGTGGCCTTTTGACTGAGTCCAAGTTTTGTAGAACAAATCCTTCTGTTAAGGGGATTCACTCAAAAGGCCCCACTTGAGGACCTAGAGGGCTACATGTGGCTTCGAGGCCACAGGATCCTTACCCCTGGGCTATGCTTGGTGCTCGGTCATCTCATCAGCTCCCAAGGGATTCAATGATCATCTCTGTGCAGATGATTACTGGAGCTATCTAGCCCTAATCTCTGCTGTTCTCCCGATGGTTATCTCCAATAGTCCTTTAGATATCTTAAACTGTATGTCCTATAGGCATCTAAGCTCACCTTCTCTGCAAGCCCTCTGCTCATACGGCCATTGTTTTATTGCGCTTTGCGAATATTGCATTTTTTTGAAGCAAATTGAAGGTTTGCGGCCACCCTGTATCTAGGAGGTCTACCCTCACCGTTTCTCCAACAGCATGTGCTCACAAGATGTCTCTGTGTCACATTTGGGAAATTCTCACAATATTTCAAACTTTTGCAGTGTTATCATATTTGTTACAGTGTTCTGTGGTCAGTGATCTTTGATGTTACTGTTATAATTGGTTTGGGGCTACAAACCTTGCCCAAACAATCACAAATACTCGGATTCTGATTGCTCTACTCACTGGCAGTTCCGTGTCTCTCTCCCTGTCCTCAGGCCTCCCTAAGTCCTGAGGCACAACAACATTGAAATGAGGCCAATTAATAACCCTACAATGGCCTCTACTTGATCCAGTGAAAGGAAGAGTCAATCGATGTGGCAAACCTCATTGTTGCCTTACTTTAAGAAATTGCCACAGCCACCTCCGCCTTCAGTGACCACCACCCTCAGTGACCACCACCCTGACTGGTCAGTAGCCATGGACATCCAGGCAAGACCCTCCACCAGCAAAAAAGATTACTACTTGCTCAAGGTTCAGATGATGGTTAGCATTTTTAGTAATAAAGTATTTTTCAATTAAGGCATGTACATTGTTTTGTTTTGGTTTTTTGGACAAAATACTATTGCACACTTACTAGACTACAGCAAAGTGCAAACATAACTTTTATATGCACTAGGAAAGCAAGAGATTCATGTGACTGACTTTATTGCAGCGGTCTGGAGCCCAACCCACAATATCTCCAAGGTGTGCCCATAGCATGGGGCCACCACCACCCTCCCAGCCACCTGGGGTCACAAGCTCAGCCTCTCTGGACCCGTCTGTCTCTCCCTCCCCACCTTGTCAATCCCTGGACAAAATGTGTTGATTCTACCTCCACAAAACTTCTCAGCTCCACCTCCTTCTCTCCACCCTGATAGCCACCAGCTTATTTCAGGCCCTCATCACCTCTAGACTATTACAATAACCTTCTAATGGGTCCCTCTACCACAAGTCTCCCTACTTCAATCCATCCTCCATTCAGCTGCCAAAGTGATTTTCCTGCAGAGAAGTTTGACCATGTCACTCCCCTCCCTCCCTTACTCCATTCCCATGGCTCCCTCTTACCTCCAGGATCAAATACAAAGTCCCCTCATTGGCATTTAAGGCTCTTCATGACCTGGTCCCTTCCTACCTTTCCAATTTTCTCACACTTTACTTCCCCTCACACACTCAGAGACCCAGCAACATAGGCTTCCCTTCAGTTGCCAAGCCTCCCTCTCCCATCCTCGTACCCCCACACTAGCTGTGCCCCAGGTTGGGAATGTTTCCCTTCTCCCCTCTATCTCAGGACATCCCTGGCTTCCTTCAAGACTCAGCTGCAGTGACATCTTCTCCAGGTGGCCTCTCCCCACATGGGCCTCCCCCACCTGGGTTACATTCCTTCCACTCAGTAGTATGTAATATGTATCTATGTAACTAGTTACTTCTACGTTGCCTCTTCTGATAGAAGCTCCTGGAAGCCAA